GAGAGGGAGAGAGGGACGGGGAAGGAGGAGGGGAGGAAGGGAGGAACGAAGGAACGAAGGAAGGAAAGGGGAGACAAAGGGTGAGCGAAAGAGAGACGAAAAGAGAGAGGGAAAGAGAGAGGGAAAGAGAGGGAAAGAGAGAGGAGAAGAGAGTGAAAGAGAGGGAAAGAGAGGGGAGAAAGGTGAAAAGAAGAAAAGAAAACAAGGAAATTCCCTACCAAACCAATTGCTTCAGCAATTGTTGGCTCCGATAGTGGGACTCCTGGCGACAGTACCACCATTGACGCATCTAGAAAAGCATCCCTTGGATGCGAGCCTAGCTCTGTCCGAAGCCGCCCAGCATCTTCAGACTTGAATAAAGTCTCCTGCAGCATTTATCCAAAGCAAGCTCAACAGCAGCCGGGAAAAAAAAAAGACTAAGCCAAACCTTATGCAACATCAACATAGGAAAAGTGAGGTCTGATTCGCGGGTAGGATACACTTATTTCACAAAAAAGGGAAGAGACAGACTACCCTTCTTTAGCGAAGGAGAGCATGGACTCTCTGTGAACTATGCCACTGAACTACCTTCTCCACCTGAATACAATGTTGAACGCACATTCATTATAGCTGTATTTGGGGTATATTTCACTCTAAACTCGGTTGAATACAATGTTGAACGCACATTCATTATAGCTGTATTTGGGGTATCTTTCACTCTAAATTCAGCAATAATGATCGTACGTTGTACACGGGTGAAGAAGGTAGCATCAAGACAAGCCTGCTACCAGTCTTAGGGCATCCTCACATGATGGAAATTCGGTCGTGAATCATGGTCAGATACATCCAAACTCTCGCTCAACCAGCTTGTGCAGCAGACCGCTCTCCTCACAGCTTAGAGTTCTGTCCAAGATGAGGTATTCACAGCTCGGTGAGTTGCCAGCGTGGGATAAGCTTCTGTTCTTTTTTCTTTTTTCCTTTTTCTTTTCTTCTTTTTCCTTTTCCTTTTTCCCTTTTTCTCTTTCCTGTTGCAAGGAAAATGAACAACAGCGAAATGACAGAAAGTCCAAATTGCAAATCACACTGAAGCCAGATATTGACGAGCTGTCCAGAAAGCAGGAATGCGCCAAAATTACACCAAGAGAGAACAAAAGAACATCGAACTCAATTGTCAAAGAGAGCATTCTCTCTCCACCAACAACAGCGGTCCCCAAGGTCTCTTTCCTGTACTGGCGCTCAGCGCCCAGAATGCAATCGCCTACAGCTCCTACACTAGCCTACAGATACGATGATGCAACCAGATGACATCAGCAGCAGCAACCAGAGTATAAGCAGATGGCGCCCATGCAGACCTCTGCGACTACCAGGTACGTGCTCTCACATCCAACCCCCACTCACTCTCTCTCTCTCTCACTCACCCCTGACTATCCCCACACGCTCCTCCAACCAAGGACCACCGCCGAACCCCGCCAGCCATGGCTGCCCAAGCCTGGCTATGGAGGCTGGGCTTTGCGCTGGTCCTAAGCAGCGCCCTCTTCTTCAACCAGCGCCCGCGTACGCTATCCAGCACCAGCGCTAGCAGCAAGTGTGAGCTATCGCTCCAGCAGCGCCGCCGCTTGCACAAACAAGTGCCCGAATACCCTGCCCTCGGCCTGCCACTGGGTCTTTCCTATATGGAAAGCAGCCAGGCTCTTTGCCGCCTGAGGAGGGACGCACATGTGCCCTCTAGCTTCAGGTTGGACCGAAGTGCCTGCGCCCAGGCCCATTCAGACAGTGGCCTGGGACCGAATTGGTTAGGCGCACCCAACCACCCCACACTGCCCTGATGTGTTCCCTGCTTCCGGATAGGCCGAGAGGCCAGCTTCCAAGTCAAGAATAGAAGAGCCTAGAAGGCTCAAAGAAGATTCTGATGCTCGTGGGCAGGGCATAAGCAATCAACTGGCGCGTGAGTGAAACGGTTTTCACCTTTTTGCAGCCACAGATGCGGATCCCAGGGCTCGATCCCCAGATCTCACCTTACCTTGCCTTACCTGTGTACGTATCAAGTTGACCCTGTGAGTCTTGAGCCCGTGACCTGTGTGTTAGTCGTTGAGAGTTGTCTGTCGTAGGTCTGAGCAGTTGTCGGGTTTTGACTATTGAACCTTAGACCTGTCGAAGTAGGGGTCATACCTGCATAGGGGTCATAGTTGTTGTTGTTCTGAAAGGTCGTAGCTGCTACAGTCCTGAAAGGTCAAGGTCGTAGCTGCTACAGCCTTTTTCTTTTTTCTTTTTTTCTTTTTTTTTTCTTTTTTTTTTTAAACAGAGTGAAACGGTATTCACCAATTCGTGGTAGCTGAGGTAGATCCCAGGGCTCGATCCCTAGTTCCCCAACTTACCTGTGTACAATACCTGCGTCAACT